GCCACTATGCTTGGCTAATTTTGTACTTTTAGTACAGATGGGGTTTCTCCATGTTGGTCAGGCTGGCCTCGAACTACCGACCTCAGGTGATCCGCCTGCCTTGGCCCCCCAAAGTGCTGGGATTACAGGCGTGAGCCACTGCGCCTGGCCAGATGTACAAAATTTTAAACAATATTCCATCACTGGAATTTAACATTTTTTTCTTGTAAATATTACTGAGATGGAGATTGTTGCACTTGTATCTTTATATATTACTTAATGCTTTTCTTAGCACAAACTTCTAGAAAGCGAATTGCTAGGTCAAAATGTTTTTGAGCATTTGATGCATAGTTTTAGAGCATTTGAAATATTTTGCCAAATTTCTCTCCACAAAAATTTTTATTGCTTTACAGTCCAATCGAATGTCTTTCCCCTCTTTTTCCACAATTTTCAGGGTAGGGAAATGAACTAAGAGTCAGGAATGAGTTGGGAGATGGCACAGGGAAGTGAAGAATGGGGAAGGTATAGATACTTAATATTCTTATGATGCAGAAAGGATCCAATGAAGACACAAAATCACTTTTCCTCTTTTTGGAAAAGAGGAAATCCTGGTGTGAACTATGAGGGGGATAACTCAGAAATGATTAGATGGACCCTAAGGGCCACGGAAGAGGAGGAAAGAAGCAGGTGAACAATTCCGGGTTAGAGAAAACCTGACTCTGGTAGCTCAAGGAGTTGAGAGGAATCTTGGAAAACCAGGCTTAGGCAATGATCAGGAACCAAAAGAAGCTGAGAGGCAATGATCAGGAACCAAAAGAACCACAGGCCAGGTCATGGCGCAGGGCTGGTTGGCTAGGACGCTGCAGGCACTGCTAGCACTGTTGCCGGTGACTCCTCTGGCACTGTGCAGGTGCTGAGGCTGCTGCTGGTGGGCCTTGGATGCCACTGTGGTCATCACCAAAATGAATTGTAAACTTTCCTCTACTTCTTTGAATCACTTGCACCTGATTCAAAGTCTTAGGCAGTTGCATCTGCTAGGACTAGCTAAGATCACAGGCCTGTGTCTTGTCTGTCAGAGTTTAGGGAATCCACAAATTTGGGCCTAATGGCTTCTGTAGAAGTGGATAGAACTTTGTCTCCCACAAGCTCTATCCACTTAGAGCTTGGGGGGAAGACCCTGTTATTAAGTTCATGGATGGCCTCCTTTCCTGCCATTATGACCCTTCTATTTGCAGGCCTATTAAGAATGAATTGGGGCCAAGATCAGTGGTCCACACCTGTAATCCTAGCACTTTGGAAGGCCAAGGTGGGAGGATCACTTGAGGCTAGAAGTGCAAGACCAGCCTGAGTAACATAGCAAGACCTCATCTTTACAAAAATAAAAATACAAAATTAGTTGGATGTCATGGCATGTGCCTGTGGTCCTAGCTATTTGGGTGGCTGAGGTGGGAGGATCACTTGAGCCTAGGAGTTCGAAGCTGCAGTGAGCCTTGATTTTACCACTGCACTCCAGTCTAGGCGACAGAGCAAGCTCCTGCTCCCACATCCCCATCCACCCAGAAAAAGATTGGTTTGCTGGAGAATGAGGTAGATGCAACCTCCTTTTGTTTTCAGGATGTGCTTGGGCCCCATCTGAATTTACCAGTTTCACTTGTCTATTAAGTGCTATTGGGGATACCTAACTTTAGGATGAGTGGGTCAAATTACACACAATTCATGGTGTGCAATACTGTTCCACAGTCACCTGGTGTCCAGTGGTCAGCTGTTCAGTGTATACCGTTGTCTATAAGCAACCCAAGAACAGTTTTACAAAAGGATCTTGATTGTTTGCCCCAAAGGGCAAAGTTTGGCTCCCAAATCTGTGATTCACCTCTTGGATTTACCACAGGCTCCACTGCCACTGCCACTGAGCTTCTTACGGTCTGCTGGGCAGTTGGGAGGCCCAGCGGCAGAACTGCAGCATGGGCCACTGGGAAAGCCTTTGCTTCCTCTGGCTTTTAAGACATCCGATAAGTGGGTTGAAGCAGCCGACCCAAAAGGACTATATGTCCCTTCCCAAATCCAGATAACCACAGGAGGTCTTTTCTTACTGTAGGGAGCAAAAGGTGAGGCAACTTGTCTGTAACATTTGAGGAGATACCTTGATATCCCCAGAAAACCCTCACAGAGGGGCCAGGCCCCTAAATTTGTCTCCTAGGTATAAATGTACATCAAAGGTACCTGCCATTTTCTTCTCTCCAGATGCTGTCAGTGTAGTTTCATCAATAGAATGAACCAGTGTGGTGCTCTATGGGGTGGTGACCTGATCAAGGTGCCTGTGGATTTGGTGGTGCGGAGTGAGAAAGCCAATGTAACCCTGAGGCAAGACAAGACGGGTGACCTTGTGCCCTGCTGGGTGACAGCAAATAGCTTCTGGAATCTTCTCTGCTTATGAGATGGGAAAAAAATGCATTTTCTTTCTCAAGATTTGCATACCCAGTCCAGGTGAAAGGAAGTGACTTCCAGTGGAGGAGGGTCCCCAGTCCCCGCCCCCGACATCTTGCGTCACTGATCTCCTTTTCTCACTCCTGCCCCTCTGTTTATGCTCCTTAGCTCCTTGGCTGCCCTCATATTTCTACTTTCTCCAAACTCGCGTTTTCAGAGGGAGAATTGAAAGCATGGGCTCTAGAGTTGGAAACTCAAGTCGGTTATTTCCTAGCTGTGTTGCCTAGGGAAAGTTGTTTAATGTCTCTGTGCCTCAGTTTCCTCAACTGGTTGATAACAATAGAGTGGACCTACAGGTGGACCTACTGTCAAGCTTAAGCTTTGGGGCCCTTCATTTGTATGGGTCCTTCATAAAGGCATGGAAAGAGCCTTAGCAATTGTGTTCTTGTGGTCATATGTCCTTATATAAATTGCAGAAGTGATGTGTTAACTGCAGGCTGTTGCAATGTCTGTCTTTTTCACTCTCGCTTCCTCTCTGTCACATTTCCTCTTGTGCTGGGGGGTGTTGAAGTAGCCATGGATATTTTTGGATCTAAGGCAAAGTTGAGTTCGATATAGATTGAGTTTGGTGGGATATGTTTGTGTGGTTCACAGTCACTTTTGGGTATAGTTAAGTTATTAATAGCTGTTCTGATGTATGAATGACTTCCAGGAATACTTATTCCCCAAACTGTGCTATGCCACTCAGCATTGTGGGACAAAGTGCAGCACCACACATTTGAAGGAAGGAACCTTTAGACGCTGCTGCTTTTAGCTATTCCAGTCACATGTATCTGTTCAGTCTTCCCAGCTGAGCACCCAGATGTCATGGAGCAACACAAACCTCCTTGTTGTGCCCTGTCTAAATTTCTGTTCTGCCAGATTGGGAGCATAATAAAAAGTGATTGGGCTGGGCGCAGTGGCTCACACCTGTAATCCCAGCACTTTGGGAGGCTAAGGCAGGCAGATCACGAGGTTAGGAGATCGAGACCATCCTGGCTAACATGGTGAAACCCCGTCTCTACTAAAAATACAAAAAAAAAAAAAGAAAAAAAAAAAAGAAAAATCAGCCAGGCGTGGTGGTGAGCACCTGTAGTTTTAGCTACTCTGGAGGCTGAGGCAGGAGAATGGCGTGAACCCGGGAGGTGGAGCTTGCAGGGAGCTGAGCTCACTCCACTGCATGCCAGCCTAGGTGACAGAGGGTGACTCTGTCTCACAAAAAACAAAAAAAAGAAATATAATTGTTGTTTTTATGTCACTAGACTTGGGGTGGCTTGTTATGCAGCCTTAGAAAAACTTGAACATCATCCAATTGATGAAGAGGAGTGAGTCATATAAAGACATTGGGAAAAGATTTAGATTTCTTGCAGATTTGACATATAATACTGACATCAAAGAAGATAAGATAAATTTTAATATGCTACTATAATGGTAACTTTGAAGACAAACTGGTTAATGAGTAGGGTCAGTGCAAAGACTGTTTAAGATAAGTCACTGCACAGGAAAACTTGAATATTATTAAATACCATAACTAATATATAAGAGAAAGTTGATAGTGGTTTGACCAAATTTGACAACCATTCTAAAAATTTATATAAAATTACCAATAATGAGTTGTGAAGTTGAAAAAGTTTTGCCCCTACACCATCAATAAAAGAACAAATACATTTCAATCAACTATCCTAGGGGAAAGACCAATCATCTTTCTAATCTCCCTGTAGAACTTGTCTTACAAAATCATTGTTGGGCCAGGTGCGGTGGCTCATGCCTGTAATCATAGCATTTTGGAAGGCTGAGGAGGCAGGATCGCTTGAGCAGGAGAGTTAGCAGCCTGGGCAACATAGCGAGACTCTGTCTCTACCAAACAAACAAACAAACAAACAAAAAATTAGCTAAGTGCAGTGGCACACATCCGTGGTCTCAGCTATTCAGGAGGCTGTGATGGGAGGACTGCTTGAGCCTGGGAGGTCAAGGCTACAGTGAGGCGTGATCATGCCACTGCACTCCAGCCTGGATGAGAGTAAGACCCTGTCTCAAAAAAAAAAAAAAAAAAAAGACAAAAGACAAAAATAATTGTCATATGAAAAGGTGATCAAATAGTATGCATCAAAATCCATGAGAAATAAGGAATTATTGAGATAGTTAATTAATACAAATATTTTTTTTTTCTGAATTGTTTGATATTTCTGGCATTTACCAGTTTAAAAACATTTCTAAGTTTGGTAATTTATGTTTTTATTTTAAATAAATATTTGTAGCTAATTTAATATTTGTACTTATAGGTTCTTTGTATTAAATAGAGCAGTCCTAAATTGTATAAGCTTTAGGTCCCATAAAATTGGAATCTGTACCTTGTAGAGTTTTTGTGGGGATTAAATAAGACAGTTACTAGTCAAGAGGTTAGTATAGTCTTTGGTACATAGCATGTATGTGATGTTAGCTATTCTTATTACTATTCATTCTGGTTTGACTGTCTTTCCATGCTTCCTGTTCAGATTCTAATCATCTCAAGTTCTGCCTGCTCCAGATCACTGCACTGTATCTCTTTATCTTTTCAGTAGAGTGTCTTGGCCACCTGGATCCTGGTTGCAGCAGTGGCATCTCTGGGGGACGTTTGTCTTTTTTTCTGTCTGTCCAGTGTCTTTGAACACGCTTTCCACATTTGGGAAGTTTTATGCCTCACTGGTCTTCATTCCCCAAGGTAAGTTGCTTTTCCAGATCCTACAGAGGAGGATGCAGAATTCACCATCTAAGGAGCTTGTAGGGAAGGCATCTGGCAGAGCCCAGGCATGCCGTCCCGAGAGCCAGCTGTAGTCACTGGGCAGTGCTGCGTGAACTGTGCTGCCAGTGCCATGGAGTTGACACTCAGTGCTGAGTGCCACCCCGGCCATGTGGCTGGAGAACCTGGTCCCCTTGGAGACGCTGTGCACTGTGAAACCTTCTTTGAATAGTTAGTCTTTGCTTAAGATGATCAGCGTGGAATCTGTTGCTTGCAACCAAGTACCCTGACTGACGGACTGGTTTGTGGTCTCTGTGTCTGTTTTTGGTGTCTCTATTACCTATTCTCCATACCACAGCTAGAATGATCTTTTAAAACTCAAACCTGATCTTGTCACTGAGGATGAGCCCCCAAGTTCTCAAGTGACCCACAACATCCTTATGATCTGTTCTCAGTGGAGATGGGAGCACTAGTAATTACCCTGATCCTTAGGCTTTCCACAAGGTGAAAGGATTTTTTATTCTGCTTCCAGAGGGAAACAAGGTAGAAACACTTCCTGCCGCCCTCTCTGGTCCCTGACTTGCTTCTTCATAGCTGGGGGAGTGACCTTAGTTACTCATGGTACTGTAGAGAGCAGTTTTGCCTTCTTTGGTTTTTCTTTCAGGCTGGCCTGCCTTTGGCCACATGTACTCTTTTCCCTTCAAACGGTGAGCCCCTGCTTGGAGTGACCTGTAATTTGTATGGATCCTCTGTCTGTAACTGGGAGATAGTGGTGAATGCAGGGAGTGTGACACTTATTTTGTTTTATTATTTTAATTAAGAAAACCCAAATAGAGACAGGGTCTCGCTATGTTGGCCAGGCTGATTTCAAACTCTTAGTCTTAAGCAATTCTTCTGCCTCGGCCTTCCAAAGTGCTAGAATTACAGGCATGAGCCACTGCACCTGGCCTATTATTTTAATTGACATATAATAATTGTACATATTTGTGGGGTACAGTGTGATGTTTCAATACATGTATACATTTGTATAATAAGTAAATAATATTTAGCATATTGTAAACTAAAGATGAAATCCTAAGTCCCCCACCCACTGAGAAACCTCAAAAACTGAGTCCTTGGCCGTGATGGAATGGAAGGTCAGACACGCTTTATTATACCTCCTCTCTTCTATGGTTTAGACACAACAATTGACCAGCATTAATGTTAAAATAGAGATCATGAGATTGACATAATACACTCTTTGTGGCAATAAGATACCAAATTGTGAACAGGACTTAAGGCCATGCCAGGCAAAGGTTAAGTCACATATTCCTATACTTAAAGAATAAACTACGTTCTAACTGCTACAAGGTTTTCCTTTTTCTTTAGCAGCTAAACAACTCTGGCCTCGAGATAAGCAATAGTAAAACAGTCGTAGCTCCTCCACCACCAGACACTTACTGACTGACTCCCCTGTTCCACAAGCCATAGCTACAGCTTTGATTGGCCCCTAAATCGTAATGCATTTAAATGTTAAGTTTGCATCCCAAGGTGAACATGGGTCATATGCTACATACATGTTTATTTAGCACATACATGTTAGGACCACCTTCAGGAATATTCCTAGGTCCTCCCATAACCTACTGAATGTGTACACTTGGCAAACCTGCTTAGCACATAAATCCCTGTTCCACCTGCCTGTCCCTTGAAGTGCCTACCTTTTGGGCTTTGACTGGAACCTATGCTTCCCAGCCTGTTAGAATGGCCACCTTACATGCTGCAACAGTTTTTTAAGAAATAAAGCCTCTTTCCAGGGGTGGTGGCTCACGCCTATAATCCTAGCACTTTGGGAGGCTGAGGTGGGTAGATCACTGGAACTCAGGAGTTCGAAACTAGCCTGGGCAACATGGTGAAACCCCGTTTCTACAAAAAACAAAAACAAAAACAAAAACAAAACAAAAAATTAGCTGGTGTGGTGGCATGTGCCTGTAGTCCCAGATACTTGGGAAGCTGAGGCTGGAGGATCATTTGAACCAGGGAGGTTGAGGTTGCAGTGAGCTGAGATCATACCACAGCATTCCAGCCTGGGTGACAAAGTGAGACCCTATCTTAGGAAAAAAAAATCCTCCTTTCTAAATTTATAATTATCTTATGCCTTTATCATTTCTATGTGTTGAAAACATTCAGAATTCTCTATTCTAGCTATTTTGAAATCTACAGTACAGTAGGTGACATAAGTCACCCTATGGTGCCATAGAACACTAGAACTTATTCCTTCTAAATGTACCTTTGTATCCACTGACTAATCTCTCCCTGTGTCTCCTTCCCCACTTCCTTCTCCAGGCTCTGGTAACCACCATTCTACTCTCTACTTCTAGGAATGAGATCAACTTCATGAGACTTATTTTGATGGGATCATCTGAGGTCAGGAGTTCGAGACCAACCTGGCCAACGTGGTGAAACCCCGTCTCTACTAAAAATACAGAATTAGCCGGGTGTGCCTGTAATCCCAGCTACTTGGGAGGCTGAGGCATGAGACTTGCTTGAAGCTGGGAGGTGGTGGAGGCTGCAGTGAGCCGAGACTGCGTCATTGCACTGCAGCCTGGGCGACAAGAGCAAAACTTCGTCAAAAAAAAAAAAAAAGAAAGAAAGAAGTGGGTGCAGTTGCTGGGCTACAGAAGAACACACCGATTCCCGTGGTTACTCCCTAGCACAAGAGCAGAGTCTCTGTGGGGGATAAGGACCCCTTGAAGACCACAGGGGTGGTAAGAGGGAAGACTGGGTTCCCATCATTTCCTGAACAGCTCATGTTACTGATGAAATGTTGAGGTCTCTCCTCACTGAGAGCCAGAGCTTCCGGCGTTTCTTGGCTAGAGGACACAAAGGTGGTAACGGTGTGTGAGAGGTGAGGGGATAGAGGGGACCTGGAACAGCCTGTCCTTTTGCCTCGGCCTTCTGCTGTTCTTTAGCTATGGGGGACTCCAGGTAAAAAAGCGGGAGAAACCTCTGTCCCTGGCCCGAGGGAGGTGGGCAGCCGGTGGCACCTCAGCATAGAGGGATGGGAGTGCTTTGCTTCCACCATGTCCTGCTTCTGGCTCCCTGGTTAGCTCCAGCTCTGGATCCTGCCTTTCAAGCTGATGGGTCTTCTGGAATCCCTGACCAGCTCTTTCCTAAAAGAATCCAGAGCAGGACACCCCAGTGTGTTTCTGGGAGACATGTATAGGTTGTCCTTGGAGATAGCTTTTCCTGATGTCTAACTTGGTCCTTTTTGACACCATCTGACCATCTTGCCTTTTGTGCTGATATCTTGGGAAGGAGAGAGCCTTATGACTGGAACCCTCAGATGCCCCTCTTCCTGAAGGCCAAGGGCAGAATAGATGTTCCACTGAGTAGAGGAAGGCTCAGACACAGGTGGAAGAAAATGTAACACAGGGGCTTGGTAAACTCCTACACAGGCTTTGGGTGGGTCACTTAGTTGGAAGTCAAGTTCACAGACACCTGCTTTCATGACTGACACGGACCTCTGGCTACCGGTGCAGCCATGGCAATCACTGTGCTCAGGGATCCAAAACAATCTAGAAGATGCTAAATAAATGTTCTTTCCCTAAGGCAGCAATCACTTCCATTCTACCTCGGCCTAATAACCCATGCTCTGATAGTGAGTGTGGACTCTGGAATAAGAGGCAATATATAGATTTATCTCTGCTTTAATTTCAGCACTTCCTTCCAAGAAGCCTTTTCTTTTGAAGCGTTGCATGATTTCTGTGAGAGCGGAGTTTAAATCCAGCCCCTGAAGGCTGGGAGGATGAGCAGCGAGTGAGTGAGCAGACATCCTCCGAGTCCCTTCAGGGCAAGGGGCTCTGCCTCTTCACCAGGTGTTGCAGGGCACTCCTGACGTCCTTGTTCCGAAGGGTGTAGATGATGGGGTTGAGCATGGGTGTGACGACCGTGTAGAAGAGACTGAGGACGCGGTCTGTGGTAACAGAGGAGCCTGCCTGCGGCCGGATGTAGGTGATGCTGGCTGTTCCAAAGAAGAGAGAGACCACGAGCAGATGGGAGGAGCAGGTGGAGAAGACCTTGCGGCGGCTCTGGATGGAGGCCATCGCTAGGATGGCTCCCAGGATGCGGATGTAAGAGGTGACAATCAGAGAGAAGGGGATCATAATGAAGACTACGGTGGCTGTCATCACGGAGATCTCGCTCCTGTGCTTCCCAGCACTTGCCAGCCTCAGTACTGGCAGGATGTCACAGAGAAAATGTGGGATGATTGGGTGGCTGGGAAAAGGTAGAGAGAAGATGAGGGAGGCATGGGTGGTGGCCGTGATGATGCCTGTGAGCCAGGAGGTGCCCACCATGGCCATGCAGGCCCGTGGGCTCAAGAGGGTGGAGTAGTGCAGGGGCTGGCAGATGGCAACATATCGGTCATAGGCCATGGCCGTGAGCAGGCAGCACTCGGAGATGCCCAGGACAATGAAGACGTACATCTGGGCTGCACAGCCCTGGAAAGAGATGGCCTGGGGATGTGGGGAGGCCAGATTGGCCAGGGTCCTGGGCACGATGTTGGTGGTGTAGAAGAGCTCCACCGCTGAGAGTTGGCGCAGGAAGAAGTACATGGGGGAGTGCAGGGCAGGGCTGACTTGCGTGAGGAGGATGATCAGGGAGTTACCCAGCAAGGTGACCAGGTAGACCAGAAGCACCACCCAGAACAGGGGGCCCTGCAGGGCCTTGAGGTCAGAGAATCCCAGAAGGAGGAATTCAGGCAGTGTAGTATGGTTTTTCCCAGCCATCACTCCAGGCCAGAAGCTGAGGCACAGCCAAGAAGAGAAGTTATTTAGAAATAACAATCAACATTTCTGTAATTTGGTAAAGCACTTTCCACACAGTTCCTCTCAAAATCAAGTGAGAGAATTAATATCTTCTCTCTGAATGAGCCATAGGTCTCAGAGAGATTAAATAATGTGGCTGAGATAATATCTAGAAAGTGGCAGGCCTGGAACTTGAATCCAGGTCTCCTGACTGGATTCGATGCCTTTCTTACTGTTTCCTGTGCTCTTGTCCTGTGCCTGGGGCCTGACTCCCATATGTAGAGACTCTAGCTCTGATCTTTGGATTTCTCTCCAGAGTGAGGGGTGGAGCAGTTGCTATGACCTAGGCCCTTTTGTACTCTCTAGACAGATGCTGAGGCCCAAAAGAAACTGGGTAGCACCAGGGACTGTCCCGAACTGGTGTCTAATGTTCACCATAGTGAGCTGTGGATTTAGAGTGTCACACAGTGATATGACTATTTGTGATAATACTGCCCAATTGTATCTTTGGGATTGACACCTTCCCTGATTTCTCTGTTCTCCTCTTATCTGGGCCCCTGTGTTCAGCTACACTAGCTGCCCTGTCCCAGCATACCCTATTCTCTCAGGCCTCCAGGCATTGCCATAGTGTCTCCTTGCAGAGAATATTTCTATGCTTTGTATTAAAATCTCATCATACTCCAAGCCTTCACTCAAGTTCCGCTATCTCAGTGGTAGCTTTCTGTGGCATGCTCAGAAATAATTATCCATGGCATTTCGAGATTAAAAGTGACATTTAGAAACATATATTTCCATATGACAGTACTCAGATCTTATCTTCAACATTTTAGGAGGGTGCTGTGCAGCATCTGTTTGAACATCTGCAGTGATGGGGAACTCACCACCTATTGAGGTAGCCCTTTCTAGCTATGGCTTCTTCTGCCTGTAGAAAAAGGCTTTACTCTATTGGTCTTGGCTAAATGCTTAGTGTTTCATACAATGTATAACTCCTCTTGCACCAGAGAGCCCTTGAGTATTTGAGGAAGGCACTTTTATCTCTGCTTTCATGAGATGTTGCTTGTCCTTTGGTCCCAGCACTTATGACTCCACTGTGAGATCCTGCAGGACACGGTGGGGAGGTGGGGAGGCAGTAGCCTATTTTAGCAGCTGCTAGTGTTTCCCAGGTGCTTAGTTCCTGCCAGGCACCATGTGAAGGGCTAAGCATTCATTAAATCATTGGATCTTCCTGATTACACTATGACATAGAAACCTTCATTTTCTCCATCTTACAGATAAGGAGAGGGAAGCCCAGACAGCGTAAGTAACTTTCTCAATGTCACACATTTCGTAAGTGACAGAGTTTGGGTTCAAATCCAGGTCTGCCTAACCCCAGAGCCTGTGGTCTTAACCACCAAGTTATCAACTGCCTTAGAGGTTAATCACCAGAAAAACAAGCTCAGTACTTGGGCCATGTCGAGTGTTTGCTGAACATTTATTAGGCGAGTGAACGAATCTCAGTTATAAAGACAGAGGAACTGATAAATAGAACAATTAAGTGATTTGCCTACATTTAGGCAGCTAGATAGACAAAGATAGGAAACTGGAATGGACTTTCAGAAGTCCTGGTCCCAAGATTCGCGGAGCTTTGATCACCCACATTGACCCACACATGAGGTTAGTCTAACCATCTTCATATTTAGGAAACAGAGCCTCAAAGTTCTACCCATTGCACTTAACTCTCATCCCACCCTCACTCTGCTTTCTCACCATATATATATATATATTTTTGTGGCCTTAAACCATTTATTCCAGCTTACGTTTAGAGAGTGCTGTGTGCTGGGGATTATACAGTATATCAGTTGACCTTTATAACAACATTAGTGACAATTGTTATTTTGTCGTTGCAGATAAAGAACCAGAGCTCTGAGGGCTTAAATGACCTATGCAAGATCACAAAGTCAGTGAACAGTAGAACCAGGATTGTAATTTCGAGCCTGAGATATCAACCACATACTTACTATATCTCTAGTGAGGCCAATAGCCTCACCCTACACTTTTGAGAGATGAACTTGCATGTAGTCAGTTTGGACAGAAGGAGTATCTTAGTTCATTAGTCCTCTCTACTTTCATCAATAAATCTTCATGACATTTTGGGCTGGCTGATTAAAAAGGAAAAAAAAACACAACTTTTCAGATGTCCACATCACCAAGAAAACACGAAATAGATCTTGACGTTTTCAAATTTTAAAAACGTTGTTGTTTTCCAATTAAAAATATTTAGGAAACATTTGGAATAGATCCACCATTATTTCATCACCTTAAATTCTTTTTTTTCTTGTAATCACCCTCAAGTCTTTGTCCCACTGCAAACCCACTTGCTCTGTGTGTAGTCATAGTGTATATACTATTTTGTCTTCTTTTCCTTTTTTAATGTTTGCTGTAAGCATTTTGCCATGAGACCACATGGTATTCTGAACAATCTTTCTAAGAAAGTTCTTGTAGTAGTCCATTGAATTTCTCCACTAATATTTAACAGATACTTCTCATCCTCGTGCACTTTACGCTGTCCTATCTTTTTTTGCTATGGTAGATAATAATGCAAACAATATTTTTGTGTGTGTCTCAGTTTGCCTCTGTTAGCTTATTCCTTTAGGGTAAATTAGGAGTAATATTATTGGCTAAGCATGTGGACATTTTTATGGGTCTGGCTGTGTTATAATTGTTTTGGATTCCTGTAGTTGGACACATGAGTG